AATATTTTTTCTTCCATTGTTTGGATTTATTAAGAAGTAATGTGTGAATTTTAAGTTAGAAACTGTTTTGTTACTAGCTTTTAATTTTTTTCCAGAGGCACTTACTTCACTTAGTACAATGTAATTCTAAGTGGGCTCAGCTAAGTAATAATTATGGTATTTGAGTTATGTAGACCAGAGTGAAGTGAATGAAGGATAACAGAGTAAAATATGATATCGGAAAGTTGAAAGTGGATAGTAGAGGAGATTGTTTTCAGCCTTCTAGGTCATTCTAACAATGTTAACTTTAACTTGGAGTGTGATGAAGAATGTCTGGAAGATTTTGTGTTTGTGTAGATTACCAGTCTATCTAACTTAAGTTACAGGATTTCTTTGTTGCTATGTTGTGTAGACTCTAAGGGGATTATTGTGAAATCAGGGAGATAAAATAGAAGGTTGTTGCAATCAACCAACTGAAAGACCAGGTTGGTGATAAATAGATATGATGAGGAGTTACTGGATTCTGGATATATTTCGTGGGTATAACCAATAGAAATAGTCTGATAGGGTGAATATAGTATGTAAAGATAGATGGGAATCAAGAAAGACATTCAAAATTTCTGGCCTGAGTAAATGAAATGATGAAGTAACCATTAGCAGAGATAAAAGCATTTTTTTTTTCCAGCATAAGTTTTAGGGAAAATACTAGGAGCTTGGTTGTGAACTGTAAACATGAGTATCTCCTATTCATGTGGTGATGCCAAGCAGGCAGTTGGTTTATGAGTGTGTGGATGTCATCAGTGAGGACTAGGTTGGAGATATAATTGAACTGTCAGTTTATGGATGTTATTTAAAGTGACAATACTGCAAGAGATCACTGAAGGAGTGAGTATAGACAATGAAGAAAAGATGTCTAAATCAGAGCTCTACAGTACCCCAGCGTCAAGAAAATGAGGACCAAATAGTAAAGACTAATAAAGAATGACTGGTGAATTAGGAAGAAAATGAAGAGTGTAGTGTTCTAGACATTTCACATAAGAAGTGATCCATAAAAATCAAATAATGCTGATAGGTCAAGTAAGGTAAGGACTGTATAAATGACCATTAAAAACGTCTAAATGTGTAAGCTACTTAATAAGTAGTAACTACCATTTATTGACCTTTTTCTATGTGATAAATGCTTTATTAGGTTTTGTATAGTTATCTTTAATCCATAAGACAGCCCTGCACGATAAGGATATATTGGAAGTCAAGTAAGTTTTTTGTTACTGTACTAAAATACGAATTACTTCTTAGAAAAGAGGCTTAATTTGCTCATAGTTTTGGAGGTTCAGGGTTGTGTCACTGGCATCAATTTAACTCTGGTGAGGTCCCTCTGAGCTCTGTCACACCAAGGGAAACAAAGGAAAAAGTGAATTTTGTTTACCCACAAGTCTCAACTCAAGAGAGCTGGAGAATCTTCCGCATCCTCGCTCTCTTCTGTTTGCCTCTAGGGAGGATTCCTTTTGTGCCTCTGGCCTTTGATGGCACCCTGAACTTCCCTTAGCAGTATTTTTCACACTATACTGCATCCCCTGCTTTCTCTCTTTACTTGACCCCTTAGAAACTATCGAGTTTTGTTTCTTCTCTTTGACCTTCTGAATAAAGAATTAGTTGATTTGACTTTTTGTTAGGCACTCTGTGTTTTATTGGACTTTTCTAGGTTACCACACCATCCCTAAAACTATATACTCTCAGATACATGATGGGTACTAAGATATTTTATGTGAATGCATGTGATGACCAGGTTCTTTTTTAGCCTTTTCCTTCTGAATTGTGGTTTTGTATCTATAATGCACTCTCTCTGACATTACCACTGAGGTATCACAAAGGTACTTTAAATCCAATAAACCTAAATCCCACATTCTTTCCCTCAGGGTCTCCTCACTCCTCTTCTCTCCCTCCTCCTTCTGTCATTGACATTTCCAAACTGGGAACATCCACATCAGTTAGTTATCAGAGTCCATCAATTCTGCTTTCTAATAGTTTTTGAAATTCATTACCTTAGTTCCATATTTTTGCATAGCTTTATTTTATGATTCCTATCACTTTTCTACCTTTCCAATAACAAAGCCTTCTAATTTATCTAAGTTATATAAATTTCAGTAGTTTAAAAAGAAATATATTACCATTTTAAAGCATTGTAAATGAAACATCTGGAAACAATGATTATTACATTTTGCCCTTCTAAATAAACTACTGTGTTTATTTAGTGTGTACATTTTCATTCATTAAGGACTTTGTTCATTTCCAGAAATAAAGTATTGAATCAATTGTGTGCAAATTGTGTAAAAGACATTTAATATATAATAGAGGAAGTTTTTTTCTATTCATAAGCAATAAAGATGCCACCTTGTCCATAAAATATTAAATTTTAGCTATTCCCTATAAGAGCTTACTGACTTACTGACCATATATCCAAAGCAGTCCTTATCTATGGAGGAAGCTTCCCAATCATATTTAAATTACAGTTTTTTCCCAAAATGGGCCAAGATGGAGTAAAAGGGACCAGATTTGCCTTGCTTCCTGAAATAATAAGAAAAATGGGCAAAACATATAAATCAATGGTTTTGGACTTGCTTATTAGGCAGAATGTGACAGTAGTCACTCAGAAGAGGAAACTAGTAAGGTGAAATGTACAATTGTTCCAGCTCTGTCTAGGAAGAATTTTCATGCTTTAATGTAGGAAAGGGGACCTGGTGGTCTCCCTGAGTTGAGGTGGACTTGCAGGGACAACACTGGTGAAAAGTTACTAAGACATAGGTCCTATATCAGGTCCCCTTACAGTCTTCAGCTGGGACTGATTAACATGGAATGAAGAAAGTGCTGAGACTAATAAAGGACCCACCCAAAAGGTTTCGAGATCATAGGAGGTCAGACAGAATCTGAAATACTTTCTGTTACCACCAGCCAGAGTGGAAGACCCTCTTAATTCTTTGGATATCATGAAGTACTCAGGAGGGCAATACCTCAGGGCAAAAGTAGTGCCATGCTAAGGGCTGTTCTGGTCCTGCCTAACAAAGCTTAAAAATAAAGCTTTGAAAGTAGTCTAATACATGTCTGATTGAAGTCCCAGCAGAGAGGATTGTGAAAGAGGAAGCAGAAAAAATATTTAATGAACTATAGCCAAAAGTTATCCCAATTTAGTGAAAACTGGAGCCAAGAAACTCAACAAGACCTAAGCACGAACAAAAACCAAAAAAATAATAAATAAAATAAAAAACCATGAAGAAAACTATGCCAAGGTACTTCACAATCTAATTGCTTAAATCCAGTGATAAAGAAAAAATGTTTATGTATCTAAAGGGAAAAAGCATGTGTACAAGGAAACAGAGATAATGCTGGTGGCAGATTTCTTAAAACAATGCCACCCAAAGACAGTGGAGCAACATCTGTAAAATAGGAAGAAAAAAGAATAGTCAGGTGTCCTTTCTATTTAGGACTCTCTTCTAATCTACCTCAATTCTTCATTAGTAGCTGTGTATTGCTTAAAATATTTTGTAAGAGACTATCAGAATTTATAAAAAGTATGGAGTATTTCGAAAGCAGTAATATATGATATAATATATAATAATTCCGTTGTGTTTTGACATTTGGAATAGGTGAAGAAAATAAATTGAAAATCTTAGTAAATCCCAAGCCCCCAAATAGAAATTATAAAAATGAAAGAGAATTAAAGCATATTAGAGCCTGTGTAAGAAACTATTATAGTATTTAAATATCAAATGAGCAGAGGTGGAAAACTGCCATGGTTGCAGGGAAGTTTTTAATTAAAGTAAAGTTCTTTCTGATTGCTTAAAGGTGAGAAGTTTGATTATTTTAATTACTATATTTAATTTTAGCAGAGAATCTTTTAATAACCTGGTTCAAATTAAAAATTTGTCAGAAATCAGTTGAGAAAAAATGTATTTTCCTCTTGTTTATACTGCAAATGTGGTACATAAAATAGAAAATTAAATACTATCTTGGTATATTTCATTGCACTACTGTGTAGTATATTAGTTTTGACTTATTACTGGAGCCGTATGGAATGAATAATGTCTTTTTGGTTTCCATTAAAATTTCTTCAAATAATTCTAAAGTATACTTTTCAATCTTTTCTATTGACAAACATTTTGCAAGCAAAATCTTTAGATAAAGTTTTGTGGTAGAATTGGGATTTAAAAGTTAAAACTTGAAAGGACAGGACTTAAATAGGATAAGGAAGAATGTTTCCATTTAAAGGAAATATAATACATGATATGACTTCTCAGAACAGTAAGAATGGTTCATGTTTGAAAGATAAAGAAGTAATTAGTGTTGGTAGGGTAGGTCTTGATTATTTGAAGGCTTTTGAAAAACAAATGAGTGAAATAGATGTGGTCCTAGTCCATTTTGTGTTGCTCTAACAAAATAGCTGATGCTGGGTTATATATGAAGAAAAAGGGTATGGTTTGGCTTACAATTCTTGCGGCCACATAGTCCTTGAAAACATCACATCAGCATCTGGCAAGGACCCCTTGACTGCTTGACCACAGGATGGATAGCATCAAGTGCCAGGATTTGGGAGGAGGTATAAAAGAGGGGTCACCTGGAAAGAAAAGAAGAGGTTGAGCTGAGAAGGACAACCGTGCTTTATAACAGACCACTCTTGTGTTAACCAATCCAGTCCCTCTAGAACAGTAAATTACTTTTGAGAAAAAGCATTACTCCCTCTTAAAGGCCCCAAATTTCTGGACACTGTTAAAGTGGGGACCAAACCTCAAAACGAATTATTGTAGAGTCAGTTCAACATTCAAACCATAGCAAATGGCATCTAAGTTAGAATTTTCTTCTAAGGAGAATGAATTATCTTTCATTCAGGTCTGAAATAAAAATTTTTGAATTTCAACCCAGTATTTTTTATATTAACTTTCATTGTGTTTAATTGTGAATAAATACAGATTAAAAAGCAAAGCAAGAACTTTTTAACCTGAAAAGGGGGATGTGTTTTTCTCTTCTAGTCCACTCCTTTACATCTAGCAGCAGGCTACAACAGAGTTCGTATAGTTCAACTTCTTCTTCAGCATGGTGCTGATGTTCATGCAAAAGACAAAGGGTAAGTGCATTAGTTTATTTCCTTTTAGTAGTTTTGTTTATGGAATATTATGCTTTATTTTTATCATCTGATTCTTCAAGGTTTTAAGCTCTGGACAAAGAAAATCATATATCCCATTCATTAAGAATGTTCATAATTTTGATTTCAGACTTTACTTTCAAGTACCCACTTATTATTCAGACTTCTCATAATAATTTCCTAAATCATTCCTAATTTTATTGCAATTCTGTTATTTGAAGTTTTAAGTTTGCTTTTGTGCTCCAATCATCTTTTTTTAACTATTGAATTGCACTAAAGAAATATAAAAGAAATTGGAAATTGTAATAATCTGGTAGCATAGCTATCATATTCATCAGGTATTAAAAGACCATCTCTTATTAATAAAAAGAAATATAAAAGAAATTGGAAATTTTAATAATCTGGTAGCATAGCTATCATATTCATCAGGTATTAAAATACCATCTCTTATTAATAAACCAAAATCATAAATATATAATATTCTAATTTGGTTAGTGAAATCTTGTACATCTAAACTGAGAAAACCTAGAAGATCCTTAATGAAGGTTAATATGGGAGAGGAATGAATGGGAACCAAGAAAGCATTTATGTCATTTATTTTATGAATGGAAGATTTTTTTAAAACTTTGTACCAGCCTCCTATTTACTATCCAGGGATTATGAACAGTAGGTTTGTATTATTACTTTGAGATTTAAAAATAATTCACCCTATCCCAGGTAAGGTAGATTATATTATACTCTTGTAATTGACATCAGAAAGAAGAAATGCCCTAGAGGAGAGTTTTTTGCATTCTGCCTCTTTCATTCAAGGAAACAGACACATGAACTCAGTATTTGAGATATTTATGAGAAGGGGAATCTGTCCATTTCAAATATACAATTTTCCATGCTGTTTCTCTCTTGCCTGTGCCAAGTTTTGTGCCATATGCATATGGCATCCCAGTAGTATAGGGGCATAAATGCCTGATCTTTGGAATATTTCCTTGTGCATGTCTGAAAACGGATGGGTGTACAGTAAGCAAGTAATCAAGAAAAGTACACCACAAAAGGAGTTTTTGACCCGTTTAAACTATTTTGATATGCAAGTTGGATATTTAAGTTTTATGCTGCAAATTACCATGAAAGTGAGTTAAAATGGTAGAAACATTTTAATTCACTACCAGGTAACATTTCTTATAAATAATTAATACATAAAGCGTGCAATGCTGTATTTTTAATATGTTAATATTTGCTAGATTCTTGTTTCTTAGTGCTTTGTAGATGAATAACTATAAGATGTTTGAAATTTAAGAATTTTAATTTGCTTCTTCATTAGTGGACTTGTGCCTCTTCATAATGCATGTTCATATGGACACTATGAAGTCACAGAACTACTACTAAAGGTAAGAAGCTCAAAATTCAAAACGTATGCTGCTTAAAAGTTATTGTTACTTTGTTTTGTTATTGTTGTTTGGCTAATAAGATTTTTAAGAGAATATGATAATTTTAAAAAATAACTGTGCTTACAATTTTTTGAACATTCAACTAATAATTCAGCTGTTTTTTAAAACTGAAATTATTGCAATCACATTTCAAAAAGTTACAACTGAAATTTACAGTGCAAAAAAAATTTCTGAGTTTAATTTGATTCTGTGAAGTTATTACTAACCTAAAACATTTTTTCTCCATTCAGCATGGAGCTTGTGTTAATGCAATGGATCTCTGGCAGTTTACTCCACTACATGAGGCTGCTTCCAAGAATCGTGTAGAAGTCTGTTCTTTGTTACTGAGCCATGGTGCTGATCCTACTTTAGTCAACTGTCATGGGAAAAGTGCTGTGGATATGGCTCCAACTCCTGAACTTCGGGAGAGACTGACTTGTATGTATTTATACCCTAAAATCAGTATTACTGGCTATTAATCAGAATATCTGATTTCTTTTTAGTTATCAGAGCTAGTATTTTATCTCATTTACACAATACCCTTCCATTCTTACAAGCATACTAGTTTAAAATCCTCTTTTCTTTCCTTCATGAATTACACAAGAATCTTATATACGTACACTATATATATTTTACAGTTATTCAAGACTAATACTAACTCATATGTGTTAAGGCTAATGAGGATGAAGCAAGGCAGCCATTGGCAGCCATTTAGTGAATACTTAGTGACAAACACTAGAAAAAGAGCACTGTACAAACCAGAACAAAAATCTCCACATTCAGAGTGCTTATATTCTTATGCTATTGGTAATAATCAATGATATTTAATATTAAGTACTTTTTTAGTCACATTTTTATCACTATGACAACAACTTAAAGGAGGAGAGTTTAATTGGGCTCATGATTTCAAAGTCTCAATCTTTGTTGGACTAATTCTATTGTTCTGGGCCTACAGTAAAGCAGAACATCATGGTGGAAGGACATAGTGGAGGAATCTACCCAGCTCTTGGTAGCCGGAAAGCAGAAAGAGATGGGGAGGGAGATAAAGAATTTTAAAATAAACTTTGTGTTTTAGAATACTTTTTGAAATACAGAAAATTTATGAAGATGGTATAGAGTTCTCACATACCCCATACTAAGTTTCCTGTATTACCAGCATTTTACATTATTAGTAAGAAACATTTATCCCAATTAAAAACCAACATTGATTTAGATTTCTTAGGATTTTACCTAAAATCTTTTTTCTATTCTAGGGTCTTATTCAGGATGACATATAACATGTAGTTACTATATCTAATACTGATTTAATTTTACATATGAACATTTCAGGTTTAAATTAAGCTAGGTGTCACCTAATTTTTAACTTTCCTACATCTAGGATTCTAAGAATCAAAAACAACCTAGTAAAGTTTTTGTTAAATTATAATTCAAGGACAAGGTATAATCAAAATCATGATAATATAATTTGTATTTAAATAGATTTTAAACTTGTCAAAATTAAAATAGAAAAACTTCCCTGTAATTTTCATCTTGTTTAGTGGAAATTTAAATTTATTTTGGTATTCAAACAAATGACATCTATTAGACTATAGGACAGTATAAACCAGATTGTAATTGTGCAAATGTCTTTTTAATGAACCTTGTAGAAGTTGATCCGACCCAGGTGACTCTTGCTATAGGTTTTCTTGCTTTATATAATTCATTTTTCTAAGTATTTGGTCTAAATAGGAAAATTTACATTCTTTAAGAGAAAGATCTTTGATTTTGGTTTTCTTAACACCTGTACAAGTTCTTTGTTAACTAAGAAAAATGTGGGATGATATTTATGTTTGCACCTGTATGTCCACCTAACTTAAGCCGAGGACGGTGTATTGTAGATACTTTATGCTCAGTAAAATTCTCAAAATGAATTTGGGTGAGTACCACTGTGCACACCCATAATCCCAGCTCCTCAGGAAACCTAGGGAAGACAATCTTAAATTCAAGGCCAGTCAGGACTATATTAACAAGACCTTGTCCTAAAAAAAAACAAAGAACCAGGTGGGGTGACATATGCCTTTAATCCCAGCAGCTCAGGAGGGTGAGACAGAAGGATAGCAAGTTCAAAGCCAGCCTCAGCAAGTTAGGAGGTCCTAAGCAATTTAGTGAGATCCAGTCTCAAAATTTAAAAAAGGGACTGGTAGGGGTGGGTGTGGGGGGTACCAAAAAGAAAAAAACAGAGAGAAGAAAATTTGACACTATTCAAAACCTATTTTACCATTTTCATATTTCCTTATTTTAATTTATATATTGACTCAGCTTTGTCTCTGTTATTTAAATTTTTCCTCCTTTTAATCGTTTTAGAAATTATGACTACTATAAGAAGTTTTTTTAAACTTTTTATTTATATATGACAGCAGAATGCATTATAACTCTTATTACACATATAGAGCACAATTTTTCATATCTCTGGTTGTATACAAAATATATTCACACCAATTCGTGTCTTCATACCTGTATTTTGGATAATAATGATCATCACATTCCACCATCATTTATACTCCCATGCCCCCTCTCTTCCCCTCCCACACCTCTGCCCTATCTAGAGTTCGTCTATGCCTCCCATGCTCCCTCTCCCTATCCCACTATGAATCAGCCTCCTTATATCAGCATTTGTTTTTTTTGGAATTGGCTAACTTCAGTTACATTATCTTCTCTAACTCCCCATTTACTTGCAGACGCCATGATTTTGTTCTCTTTTATTGCTGATATTCCATTGTGTATATATGTCACTTTTTTTTTTATCCATTCATCTATTGAAGAGCATATAGGTTGATTCCATAGTTTAGCTATTGTGAATTGTGCTGCTATAAAAATTGATGTGGCTGTGTCCCTGTAGTACGCTATTTTTAAGTCATTTGAATATAGACCGAGGAGAGGGATACCTGGGTCAAATGGTGGTTCCATTCCCAATTTTCCATGAAATCTTCATACTGCTTTCCATATTGGCTATACCAATTTACAGTTCGATCAGCAGTGTTTAAGCGTACCTTTTCCCCCACATCCTTGCCAACACTTGTTGTTTGTATGCATAAAAACTGCCATTCTGACTGGAGTGAGCTGAAATCTTAGAGTGGTTTTGATTTGCATTTCTCTGATTGCTAGAGATGATGAACATTCTTTCATATATTTGTTGATTGATTGTATATCATCTTCTGAGAAGTGTCTCTTCGGGTCCTTGGCCCATTTATTGATTGGGTTATTTTTTTTTTTCGTCTATAAGAAGTTTTTATAATGTGTTTTACTAGTCTGTCTTATTGTAGTGTAAAGATTAAAATTTATCTTAAATTTGTATAGTTTTTCAAAGGGAGCATTTTTCTGGTTGGACTATTTTTTAGTCTTCTTAGTAAGCAACTTTATTAAATACATAAAACCTTTGTTTTGTTACATAGGATTCTAGCAAGAAATTATCTGAATGAAAGAATTTAATGAAATTAGGCTTTCTCTAACTGCAGTTTTTATTATCATGTGTACTGCTTTTTACTAGGCATTCACAGTTATAGAATTAACTTAAAGAAAATTATACAAGAAACACACACATTTTGATAAGGCTTGTTACTCTGTTTTTTCCCCCCTAACCTTTCAAGTTCTATATTTTGAGGAATTTAGCAATAATAAAGAATCACTAAAGAAGAGGTTATGTAATAAAGGGGTTTTTTCCTAAATTTGTGATAAATATGTTCAGCATTCACACACAACACATAGTTATTGAGTGGGTGTATCAAAATCAAACAAAATTTGTAAAATAAAAAGTAGGACTGTTTTTAATAAGAATATCGTGTTCTTAATTTGCACAGTTAATTTAGATATGAATTTTTAAAAATATTTGTTAATGAAAATAATACAATATTCATTGTTCTTTGAAAATGTTTCAAACTCTAGAAGTTCTTCTACATATCTGTTCTTCCCTACTCTTTTTCAAAACATAGTTGCTATTAATATTTTGCTGAGTATTTCTCTACATCATTTTTTACAAAATTATTTGTATTTAGTTGTGATGGAAAGAGTTGTAACAATACAAAAAAAGGATCAGCCTATTCTTTCTCTTTGGGTACTTGAATAACAATTTGTTCTTTCATGTTAGTGTTTATAGATCTGTCTCTTTTGTTAAAGAGTTTCAGTGTATGTGCTTACAAATTATTTGTCTGGTTTCCTTTGGTGGACTCCTAGTTGCCTGTTTTAAAGACTTGGATGCCATTGATGTCTTTGTGAATCTTCATGAATTCTGAGAGTATGAAATAGTCTTATTTCAGAGCATACATATTTCAGAATTTTTCATTGTATCTTCAGCCTTTGTATTATCAATATTGTCACATTACCACTTTTGCAGAAATAGAGAAATATGTGAAGTTTATGATTTTCCTATTTACATATAATCATACTAGATTTCTTTATAATTTAAACTATTATTTATCAACCATTATTTCATTGTAGATGAATTTAAAGGTCATTCTTTACTACAAGCAGCCAGAGAAGCAGACCTAGCCAAAGTAAAAAAAACACTCGCTTTGGAAATCATTAATTTCAAACAGCCGCAGTCTCATGAAACAGCGCTGGTAAGATTTTATTATTAATAACATTCTTTTTTGTCTGTAATACTGGAGCAAGCCCGACATAATACCTGAAAGTAACTTTACTATTTGCAGTGTCTGTAATTTATATTTTAATGTTAGTTGAATTGATTTTTAAATTTGGTTTAGGGGAAGATTATTTTAATGGGCAAGAGAATAGACATTTGCTCGATCTTGATTTGGAGATAATTTTACCTTTGTGTTTACCCAACCTTATTATAACAGATCTACCTTTGTGGTTGTTCTTTCATAAAATACAAGATGTGATTTTTCATGATTAAATTTTCTTTTTTATTATGTGTTTGCTAGATAAATACCGTATTTGTTTTCTGTAGGGAATTGGTGTGTTTTCAAAGATACTTACATCATCCTTTTATGCAATTATATTCAAATAACTAATTATATTCATGCAGAAAAATGGTAAGATTATAAATTTTTCTGTTCCAGACTGCACAAATTACCCTTATAACTATTTCTTTTTCTTCCAATACATTTTTGGAAAGATTTTTTTTTGTTCTTTGACACTGACAAAAAGGGACAGATATAGGGTTTGACTAATGATTGCTCCCAAATACAGAATTTATGCATATATGATGGTTGTATCACAGACTTTTACATATGCTTCAGTTAATATTCTTATATGTATGTGGCACAAAAAGGTCAAACTTTAGTCAATATCTGGTGAAAATAACAAGATTCACCAAACTGAAGTGTGCCAACTATATATGCACTTAAGAATATGTCCATCAAAACTGGGATTCAGATACACTCAAACTACATAGCATTATACCAGCTTATACTCAAAGCCACAGAATAGACCTTACCCACGGGGCGGGGGGGGGGTTAATTTTAGTATCAGTTTTAAGTGTTAATTTTAAAAAGTTAATATATAACTAATGAAGCAGAATATAAAAGTCATATGCATATTAGGATAAGACACAAAATTTATAAGAGTGTTTATTTTCTAAACTGCTTCAAGTTCATCACTTTCTTGCCAATTTCTAGGTATATAAACATACTCTTTCGAAGTGCTTCAAGTGTATCAGTGAAGGAATTTGAAAAATACTGGCTTGTATGGCTGATAGCCTAATGAAGGCATGAATAGTTACAGATTGCTGTAGCTTCTAAGAGGCAGTATTCTAATGACTTTCAGTGGAATATATGCTGGATCATTATTGACTAAAGGAAAAGAAATGAGGTCTTTCCTAACACTTAACTAAAAGCATAATTTTGTGTAGGTTTAAAGACTTTATTTATGTTTTGTATTTAGTGTATTTAGGAGAAATATTCATCATCTCTATAATGTAAAATATATAATTATGTTCTTGGTACTCTTTGAGATAACAGTGTCCTAAATAGTAAGCAGATGCTATTTAATTCAGAAATCTATTTTTAAATAGAAGTTTAGCTTATTAAATGATTTCTCTTTATAGCACTGTGCTGTGGCCTCCTTGCATCCCAAACGAAAACAAGTGACAGAATTATTACTTAGAAAAGGAGCAAATGTCAATGAAAAAAATAAAGAGTAAGTATAATTGCAGAAGAGTTATTCAGTTCTTAAAAGAGGAAATGCAGTAAGAGAAAGAAAATTACTTTTGCCTTTTCTCCTTTCCATAGTTTCATGACTCCCCTGCATGTTGCAGCCGAAAGAGCCCATAATGATGTCATGGAAGTTCTGCATAAGCATGGAGCAAAGGTAAGGCACACACCAGACACAGAGTGCCAGACTCAGCACTGAGCAGCTAGCTGTTCTTAAGAGTGCTACTTTTCTCTGATTTTTCAGAAGAAATTAATTTTTTCCAGAAAGAACTGTTGATTTGTATTTAAATTCATAAATTCTCCTATAAATCTTATTTTAATTTTGTTTTTAATCAGAGTAATTCCCTGTTTCTTTCTCCTTTACCCTCAATCTTCTAAAAAATAACAAAGTGTAGCTAATATCATTTAAAATAGATTTCAATTTTATAGACATTGTTAATTATATGGCATATTTTGATAGTATATTTTGGTGATAATTGTAAACTATCAGAAAATAGTTTATAGTAGCTCTACTTACTTTAACAAACATTTGTATTCCCCCAAATTGCTAAGATAAACTTTCTCAATTTCTACACTAAAGAAATATGAAATTTTAGTAACTATTTCTATTAGAATTATTTGGATGACATATTCTGAAATTCTGAATATGTCACTTGAGAGAAGAAGAAAGCAAACTGGTTGTTTTTCAGGGGGGACTTGAACTTGCAAATATTTAAATCTTCAAGAATATATATTTTAAAGCACTGGTGTTCAAAATAGGGTACAGATATTGGAGTCACCTATAAAAACTGAACTTACAACCAAATCCTCAAATCCCTACATCATAGTTTTTTTTTAATATTTGTTTTTTAGTTATAGGTGGACACAATATCTTTATTTTTATGTGGTGCTGAGCATCAAACCCAGTGCCTCACACATGATACACAAGCACTCTACCTCTGATCCACAACTCCAGCCCCATACATCACAGTTTTTTAAAAATATATTTTGAAGTAGAGCCAAAGGATATTTTGTACCATTGTAATTAAAATTTTTCTTAAATTTGAATTTTTTTATCTCTTTCCATTTTTTTGTAATTTCTCTTCCAGTAGTACTTATATATTTACTTGTAATGTAGTAGTATAGCACTGCTTGGTTATAATATTTCAAATGAATAAGGAAGACCAAAAGGTGTAGGAAGAGAGAGGGATGGGAGAGAAAGGGAAGGCATGTACTGGGGACTGAACTGGAGCAGACTATGTTATATACACAGGTATATATCAAAATTAACCCCACTAGTATGCATAACAATAATGCCTTAATACAGTTTTAAAAATAAAACAATTTTACAAATGTATACATGTATTCAGAGGGTTATTTTTATTCATAGGGTATAGATTCAAAAATTTATTATATATGACTTCTTTAAGTCATATAAAAGTCTTTAAAAGGCCATTTGAGGGTTTTAATTTAAAAACCAACATGAGCTAGAATAAAAAAATTCCAGAAATTTATTACCTAATTTGTAGGTACAGCTACAGCTTTATTATATAAATAGCATCTTATTCTGTCAAGCTGAAAATAAGGTAAGTAGGGGGCTCAGTTGTTAGAGTGCTTGCCTTGAATGCACATGGCTCTGGGTTCAATCCCCAGCACCACCAAATAAATAAATAAGCCAAGTGGGCTTTCGTTTTTACTTATAAGCATCATGTTTATCATCGGCCTGTTTTTGTAAACATTTATGGCATTTTTAATGCTCTTGAAAAATTATGAATAATGCCCTTAATTTGGGGAAAATAATATCTATTTTCTCTTGTGAATCATTTTAGAAAGATTCAGTGAAAAAATAACATTATCTCAAAGCCTGTCCTAATCATCATTACTCTAGATCTGTAGTTCTCAATCTTTCTCTGCCCTTCATGTGCACAATCAGTTCATCAGTGGAGCATGTATAATTTTAAACATCCTGACAGTGATGTAGAATGACTTGCAGAGTAGAATGTCCTCCCTAGTCTTTCCATTACAGCAAGTAAATGGAGAAGTCTTGTAATTATGTGTTTTAAAATCATACTAAGACAAAGTTATGAACAATAAAGTTGCTATCAATAGATCACAAAAGCCATGTCAACTTCCATTTGCACCTTCCTTGATTCTAAAGCATTATGCTATCCCTCAGGGTTGGTGCATACAGTGATTAATGTGTTAGTTTTTAAAATATGTGTTAATGTGTTAGTTTAAAAAACAAAACAAAACAAAAATTCCTGTGACAAAACCCATGTGGCTTCTCTTGGGCCCAGTTGTTGCTGGCTTGACATTTTCTTTCTAGGAAATCTAGAAATTCTATTTGATTTTTAAGCAATGCATGGTTTTCATTTGACTCTAGAACCACATTCTAAATGAGCCACACTATACTATAATTTGGATTCAGCCCTCCTAACACTGCGTACACCATCCTGCTTCTGCCCCTTCCTCCTAAAGAGTCAAGTATCCCAGGATGAGGAAGAAGAATTTTGGGAGGAAAAAATTACCATTAATTAATTTGTCTTACCTAGCAGATACTAGTAATATTTTTTTGTAATCAAAACATTATTTTCCCCAATTGTTGGTGATAAAAACAAATTTCAGGTTCATCGTGCATGTTAATTAAAAATATTGCATATGTAATTTAGGCATGCTTTTGAATTTAGAATTCCTCCACTTTCTAGTTTTGTGATCTTATATTAAATGTCTCTGAGCCTCAATTGACTCATCAATGTTGTGAAATAAGCCTGAGAAGACATTTATCAAATCCATTTATAATTAGTTTTGATCCACCTTAACAAATATTTACAAAATGATCAAAACTGTGCTGGATACAGTGGGAAAATACCAGATTGAAAGTAAATGCAATTACTGAACTTGAGTGTAGTCCTGAATTAATTTAGAAACATTGGTAATAAGGAAGGAAGAGAAAAATGAAAGCCACTTAGAAGGGATTATTATATTAATTGGAAATGAATTGGGCATTAGAAGCACTCAGAAAATGGTGATACAATTAGAAGAAAACTAGAGAGAAATACTGGTTTCCTGTGCCTTAACAATGAGTTTAATTGATATGATAGAGGGACATTTAGGTAAAATCAGCAGTTAGAAATGTAGCACTAGAGTATGAAAGAGAATTTTGGATTGAAAAGATCTGTTGGAGAGCCATCAGTGTAGTGATTATATTGTGGGAGGAATTAAGGGTCTCTGGTAGAGAGCATGAAAAGACAAGTTGAGGGTTAGAGAAAGAATCTTTGAAGATTTCTGAGGTTTATTGAGCAATAATGGAAAATGTTAAGTGAAAGATCTATCACCGTGTCTAACTATACAACAGTAGTATGAGATGCAACAGGTGATGGGTGCCACAGACAGAAATTAAGGCAGATAAAAAGACATTTAATTTGGCAATTTTTATATGCCAGATTTAGCAGCTTTTGAAGGAGATGTTTTAGAGAAATAAAAGTTTGTATCCAAGTATTGATGATAAATGCCCTCAAAATGTGTTTTGCTGAACATTTTAATAAAGAAATTATAGCTGGCTATGGTGGCACATACCTGTAATCTCAGTGGCTCAAGAGGCTGAGACAAGGGTGTTAGGAGTTCAAAGCCAGCCCCAGCAACATCGAGGCTCTAGGCAACTCAGTGAGACCCTGTCTTTAAATAAAAACACAAATTATGGTTGTGCATGTGGCTCAGTGATCGAGTGCCTCTGAGTTCAATCCTTGATACAAAAAAAAAAAAAATTATATCAAAAATGTGGGCAAGTTTTCAAGGATCAGCACAGGAGTGAAGCAGAACTAGCAGAAAGAAGATAGTATCATCATCTTTGACCTGGAGAGGGTAGTTATTTGGAGATGGCCCCTGCTCTCTTCCCAATGTCTCCTGTTAGCCAGATTTAAAAGGCTACAAGAGACTGTTGATTTGGTCCTATGAATAATTTTCCCAGGATGCAGAATAGGATAGAAAATGAATCTGAAGAAACAATTAAGCGATATTCAGTTAAATGTTAGAAAACAGATTGCTAATAAGAAAAGGAAGATTAGAAAAATTTAAAATTAGAAGTTTAGAAAAATTAAGAAAATCGCCTCATTTGGCTGGGGATGTAACTTAGTGGTGGAGCACCTACTTCACATATCCAGGGCCCTAGGTTCAACCCATAATACTGTCAAACAAACAAAAATGTAGCTCCTCAGTGGTAGAGTCTTTGCCTAAAGTGTGAATCCCTAAGTTCATTCCACAATACTGCAAAAAAATAAAGAAAATGAGGTATATTAGCCAACTCATTTGAAAAAAATTCTTGTGCTACAAGTTAACTTCTGTACCTTAAAAAGTTAATAACCGTATTTACCATTCTCTAATTTGTGAGATTGTGAGGTTACATAAAGCCCAAATAAGTAAGACATGGAAGATTTTATTCTTCATGCCATAGTTTTTCATCATTATTGTTAGTCTACCATAGCATTCTGTACTCTGTACTAGTGAATTACCTGGCATTCTGCAGTTTATCACTAATGAATTGTCTGCTGTCATTATTGAGAACTTGTTCTCCAATTGCATATGACATTATTTAAGAACAAAAAATTTAATTTAGAAGTGTTTTTTTAATACATAAGCACTACTACATTGTCATTTGCATCCATCTGTTTAATACATGAAACATGAATGGATTTCTTTCAATTTGTTCATTTCTTAATTGGCTCATTATATCATCTGTAGGCAGATATGGTGACAACAGTAATTGGCATTTAATGGGCTTCTTTCTCCGATTGAGAAGTGATCACAAGTCTTTGCTCATTTGGGGGGAGTGTGCTTATTTTAAGGTTTCCATTAATGCTATTCTAGAGGAAGATAGATAAGTTTATTAGCTAAAAAGTGTTAAAATGCTTTTAAAGATATTTTGGAACTAAAAGTTTAGTTTAGATAATAATATCTAAGATTTGTCCACATCAAAATAATGTCCATTGGGCTAATATCACAAACATGTTTTAGTTACCAGTTGAATCTGGATTAACCACAAATAGAAATCGGTTATTACTTTTGTGAGATAACCATGTTTATCCCCCAGAAGTATTTCTGAAATTATTTCTGAAATTCACATAAAATGACAAAAAAAAAAAAGGAATTTGGAAATGGTACCTTAGAATGGTGAAATACCTT